GATAAGTCAGTAAATTTGAGTAAAATCACAGGCTTCGCTTATCCCATGCGAATGTGCCACACGAAATACAGATGTGGGGGCTAATTTCCAAATCATACAAGGTCCTCAGATCATACTAATCCTGTGCGAATAGGGCTTTAGTCACATTTATACACGGTCATGGTTACCTACTACCTACTAAATCCATATGTGTTTGCCTGTAAAACCTTAATATCACATTATTTTAAACTTTCAGGCAGCTTTATTTATCCACTGAGACTAACTTATTTATTGTGGAAAGGAGAATATTTGAAATATTGTGGAGCAGTTGTTTAAATTCGAATGGTTTGCCTCCTCAGAATGAAGAAGTGCAGTTTCTTGAGAATGAGCTGCGGAGCCAGAAACAGAAGTTCTCAAAGCTGAAGAGCTTCACCAAAAGCCTGCTGATCGCTGTGAGAAACAAAGACAGAAAGAAACAGCAGGTGAGGAAACTCAAGCAGATGAAGCTTTCAGACGAGCAGTGGAAGAAATCAGATCGTAATCGGTGCGTTTGTCTGTTGTCAGGAGCTGTTAGCCAGTCTACCTCAGAAAGTGAATGAGGACTGGGACCTGGGCCTGGAAAACCACCGCGAGTCTTACATCCAGAAAGAGCCCTCTGTATCAGAGGAGGAGGAGGACATGGATCAGATGAGACTATAAACGCAGTTCTGTTCCTCACACACGCCACATAGTGCCTGTGGAAACCAACCAATAACTGTTGGGCCAAACCAGTCGTTTTCTACAGCATACGTCATATAAGACCGCCCTGGCCGGGTCCGGTACTATCAAATAAATGCCACTAAGTCAACACAAGAGTGTCTCTTCTCATTTCTATGACATCTGTAAGCATGAAACGCACTGATTAGGATTATAATGAAGCAGGTTTACACACATCAGCACGCCTGTGGCCACATGGTGGCAGGTAGCGATGGGAGAAACAAAGCTTCATTTCAACCAATTCATTCAAAATGATTGACTTCGTTGAAGTGCTCAAAACGCCATGCGCCGGGGACACCTAAAAAACAAGTGTGCAATCTATTAAATGTAGTGCTGTCAAACGATTAATCACATCCAAAATAAAAGTTTT